GAGGTGTCGATAAATAATAAATAAATAAATAAATAAATAATCACTGTGAGATTATATACATGTTTTCTATAAGAATTATGTGTATAGAAAACTCTTTAACCATTGAACTCTATAAAACAATACTACGTATCACTCGTGTTCGAAAAACTTTTAATAGTTTATTTCAAGATTGAACCATTTGTTAGTTATATATACTATTTGTAACTAATATTTCGAAATGAAATGTATTAATTTCTCCATTATTTAATTATTTGTTGTTTGTATAATGATATAATCTATAAATCATACGTGTTACATAAGAATAAAATACAAAAACCAATATTGTCTTATTCAAATAATCAATATACTTTCGTTTTGAAATCAAACAAACTAGGATTATTTTTAAGAAGATAATTATTAAAAAATTATAATAATTCTTAAAAACAACTGATTACATAATTCGGTTTTGTGGATAGTAAAAATTCCGATACCTCTTTTTCTGTCCTCCTGAATAGAATAGAATAGGTATTGATGTTTTTCCTGTATTTGAAGGATTTATTGTAGGGTACCTAACCATATATGGTTTTGTATATAATTCAATTCATATTTCGTTTTATGAATTTTATTAGCTTAAGATTTACGTACAATTCGGTGTTCTATGAGGAGAAATTGCATGGTTGTACTTTAATAATTATTGAGCTTAATTTGATATTTTATTCATTATATGATCCTTGCGACTACTATATAATTGTTTTATTATTTTATTTGCTGGGTTGTTTTTATTTCTAATGGTTCTTGAAGCGTATGGTGATGATTACTTATTTTTCTTAGTTCAAGTGGAGTTTTTTTTTATAAGTTTCGTATGCTTCCAATGGGGATTGATCTAAAATCTTATATTTTAAATCTTAAGATGGTGTTGAATTGTTGCTTGACAGTATAAATGAGAATATTTTTTCAAGAAAATATTAATTTATATAGTATAACATGTTTTAAATGGTTATTATTTTACTTAGTATATTATTTATGACACTTTACATGTATACTGTATAGACATGTCTCCATGCATGTGTTTTTGTGATATCAATACTTATCAGTTATCATAGATATATAAATGTTTTTTAGTGTTAATTTAATTTATTTTGGATTTAATGGTTACGGAGTTGTCAATTTTCTTAAGACATCTGATATCTGTTTGATCGGTTGATTGGTAGTTTGAATTATGTTGATGATATATGTTATATATGTTTAGTTTTGGTTTAACTATTTAGAACTTTGACTTTTTTTTATAGATGATGTCTGTTGTCTTAGTGTCTGTGTTTATAGAAGATGTGAAATTATTCCACGTTTTTGTCAGTATGTTATTATTATGACGTAAGGAATCCTGCAAAGTTTTTTTTTTTATCTTTGGCTATATTATTGTTTTACCGGGAAACTTTTGGTATGTTATTTTTTTTTCGATGTGCGTATTGAATTTTTTCTGTGACTGGTATAAGATTTGTAAAAGTTAGGTATTGTTTTTAAATTATTTTGGATATTGTTGCTGATTAATTTTGTTGTTGTTGTTCTTATAGTATTATGTATAAGATCCAATTTGGATTTTAGAAATTTATTATTGATTTTTATATACTCATAATATCTTTGAATTTCCTACTCAATCCTAAAAAATCAATATATGATTTACAGTTCACTTATGTTTATTCTCTATCTTAAATTATTTTTTAATAACAAGTATAGTATGATGTAATTAATAGGTATAATGTGTAAACATTTTTACGATTAAGTTGATAATTTTAGTTGAGGTCATGTCAAGTTTAATTATTCATCAAATAATATAATATAGGTAATAGATATACCTACAATCTAAAACATTTCAGTCTATCATTAAACAATTAAATATAAAACAATAATCTTATTTTAAATTAACTAAGAATTAATTTGTCGACAGATTCGATTTGATCTTTTCGTTTTTTACTTATACAAAAGAATAATAAGAGGAAGTTTGACTCAACTACATATGAATATTAAAATGCGCAAACAATTTGTTGGTGTGTGCATTGCTTAATAATTATGAGTGACAACACTCTTAAGGTGGGTTCCTATTTATGTAACCATTATAATAATAACATATTTTAGTAAGATGTATAGCTGTTAGTAATATTGCTAATATTGAGTTTCGTACTGCAATAAATAATAGCTTGAGACATATCAAATTAATATCTCAATAATATGAATTGTAAGTCATTATATAGTATAGCTGGTATATATAATAAGTGATGAGGTAAAGATAAGTCAGCCTCCTTGTACCATTCCTTTGTTTGCCATAATTATTTCTATTTAGTCTCAAAATTGCATAAAACCTATACTCCACAATCTAATGGTTTTGATGATTATTACTTTGTTGCTAAGTATTATAACGTTTATCTATGCAATTGATTCGCCAGCTGTCACTTAAAACGTTATTAAGTATGTATTTCTCAAACTACATTTATGATAACTCCCATCGTTTTAAAATCTAAATGTCCATACAATTATCTGTATGCCCGTCAACTTCAGTAGTCGTATTGTCTCACATCTTTGTACTTCATGAATACATAACATAATGTAATATTTAACAGTATTAGTATATTTGAATAATATGTTTAAATATTATGCTGAGTGGAAAAGAAAGTCAAAACAAGGTCAACCGTTTATAATATTTGGGTGTATTTGCTGTGGTTTTAACTAAATGGGTGGTATCTATTAATGGTTATAATGAGTGATAAATCTACTATTAGTGTCATTTCTTTTAAAAATATATAAACATGACCATAATTTATTTAAAATTGACATTGGAAGACCATAAAACGGTAGATTAAATAACAGAATTTCAAATAACATTATTTTTTTTTTTTGTGATCAATATAAGCAATATAGGGATCAGCCGTGCAAAGGGTCATCGCATTTCTGCTGTGCGGTAGCCATTCTGGCTACCTTATACATTATTCTCTATTTCAACTATGTATAATCGTCTTTACACCTTTACTATTAATCTTGAGCTTTTATCCATTCCACAGACACCCAATTATGTACCTAATTCGTCTTACTCTCTGTTCACATCTATTATAACTTTCATTTTGTTGTTCTGTATATTATTTTTTCGGAGATAGACGTAACTGATACTCAAATATTTGATATGAAGTGTAGGAAACTATTATCTAGGTGCTGAACTTTCGGTATTTGCACACAAAGTGGTTTTATGTCAGAATTCTTTTGAAGTCAGTGGCAATATTAAATGAAAAAAGAGTATACATTCTGTTCTATATTGTCGTCAAATATGTATATATTTTATATACATATATCCTTATTATATGTTATTTGTTTTAAGCATTTAACCATAAAACGATCTGTATTATATATAAGAGAGGGAATAGATTTATAAAAAAATGTAAGTACATTTTATTTATTAAAAACTACAGGGCTACCTTTAACGTTTTTACATTTTGTTTTGAAAATTAATGAAACTTAAATAATACCTAATAAGTAATAAGTAATAAATTATCATTGACTAATAAGTTACTGATATTCTATATATTTTAGGTACCTACTAAAAAACTAAAATATATGTATTGAATATGTCTTCTATAAATTAACTATTAACTCAAACTTTTTTCTATAAATATCTTTGTTTTCGTTGGGTTAAAACCAGTGTTGAGCCGAGATAATTATAATTTTATCTAGATAAAGATAAATATAACTAATTATTATTATCTAGATAAGATGAAAAAAATTATTGTCTAGATAATATCGATAATTTTTTATATTTTTTAATGGCACTCTCCTTAAGCTCGTAGGAATATAGAATAACTTAACAGTATGTTATCGAAAATGTCGATAGTTTTTAGTATAAATACTACCTACTTAATAAATTACTTAATTGTCTACCTATATTCTATAGTAAATAAATTAAATTATCCGGATAAATTCATCTAGATAACCGTGATTTTTATCTTAGATAACTGTGCAAATTAGTATTTTCTATTTATCTAGATTAGATAAAAGATAAAATAATATTTATCTAGATAAACTCAATACTGGTTAAAAAGTATGAAAATAAAATAGGTACAAGGTTCCTTATAAGTTGTTATAATAACAGTAAAAACAATATTGCAAATTCTTAAGCACAATATTTGTTTTAAGCATTTAAAGTTAAAATGTTTACAAAATTCAACAATATCACTAACATTTGTGAAAAATGTATACAATTTTCAATTTGTATAAATTAAGTTTGAAAATGTAATACAAGGTTTCTTATATATAGTTTATATTGTATCCAAAAAATCTAAAAAATAAATTCCCACAATTTTTTTTAAGTTCAAATTTTGACAAAATTAGATACTTTAACAAAGAATAACAACTTTAGTGATTTTGTTGATAGGTACTTGAAACTTTTAAAGTATATTGTTATATTTTATACACACAATGACATATTTTTCAAATGCATCGTTTCTGGCAAACGTCAATACTTACTGTTGCAATGATATAATCAAATATACAAATATTGAAATATACTAAGTATAATATTTAATATTATAGGAAGCTGCAGCGGACAGACCGTATCGCTCTCATAATCGTTTTTCGTATACAATGGTTTACATCATTGAATTCAAATAGGCAATAGCACACATCCATTATAGTGACCAGCACTATTCCTAATATATACAGCAGAGAGGCCACCTTTTTTTTATTTGAAATTTGGTTTTTATTCTAGATTATAGTAGATATTATAATATTTAAAAGTTTTCATAATTTCATGCAATATTTATAACGTTTTATTCCGAATCATCTAATATATGTTCACATTATTGCTTATTAAATTGGAAATCCAGCCGGGACGTTAACGAATTTAAAATGGTATTATTTTTTATCCATATACTGCAATGGTCCCGTTCTCCGACTATAAAGTGTACTACAATTTGAATAATATATCACTATGGGGCATATAACGTGGTAGCGGCGGTGACGTCGTTAAGACCCTTTCGATAATTTATAGCCGTTGGCTAGTGGTGTGACTTTATCTAGGGGTGGCGCTGTTAGCGTAGTCCAATTTTCAAAACGGACAATATCGGAGAATATATTATTATTTTCTTCTCGAGTACCGGCATTTATTTTCGGTTTCTCAAACCTTCGACGTATACTGAAACTAACCCGTAAGCCTATTAGCCAAAATCCCAATAAATATAATGGTCCTCGGCCACTACTATCGGTAGAGATGTGATAAAGAAGAATCTCGTCGTCGACGACTAGCGGAAACCGTTGGTTTGCGGTTCCATTTCCGGCTGGAGCGCGCATACCGGAAACGTAGAAGACTTTTTGATTACAATCGTAAATTTGATGTCTACCAGAAAACCCTACCATCTCCAGTAGCGGTGGATTGTTATTACTGCCGTTTTTTTTTTCCGGTGTCGTTGTTTTAATCCTTCGGGATACGTTTTTCGTGAGCAGGACTAGTGAAATACTTTGTTTTGAAAGTATTGTTTCCCCATTGTTCGCTCCAAAACCAAAACTTCTCCGTAAGTGCAAAAAAACTTTTCGTCGATTGTGCAAAACTTTATGATTTCTTTGCTATGTTTTACTCTCAGTAAGCAATATATAGTTATTGTAATAGAACCACGTCGCGCCTGTCTACCAGCTGACCACCAATAACGCGAACGGTTTAAATCGATTATGGAGGAATGGTATTTTCGTAAATCGGACATTACTACTAAAGTACGTGTGTTAAAATGAACAATAGTCCTGTATATACGAGAGACTCACTTCGCATTTAAACCATGTGACTCTTTTACAGTCTCCATTACTATAATGCTTACACTGCCGGTCGCGTTAAAGGCAAACAGCTGCAGGTTGATTTCGTAAGTGAATGTTTTATTATTTATTGCACAAACATGTTTAATCTAAATTTTAATTCTATGGTTATGACTGAAAAACATAATATGGTATATCATGTAGAATCCAACAAGTATTACTGCTAATATTTTTTGGAACTAAAAAATAGTAATACACATATATATTATAAAAAATCAATGATATTTTCATAACAATTATTAAGTAGGTACTTTATTAATTGTAATCAGATAATGTTACTGTATAATGAACTGTAGAATAAAAATAAAAATATTACATTTCAAAATACTAAAAATAGATAAATTTCTATTAAACTTGTTTTAAAAATAATTTTGTATTAGTAAAAATACAATGACGTAAGGGTCTGTTTCTTGGGGCAATGAATAATTAAGTTTAAAACATTGTACATATTTTAAATTACGCTTTATGTATATTTTATTTTTAAACGTTTTCACAAAGGCAATTTTTTTATAAAATAAATTATTGTGTTTGGTCAAAGAAAATTATTTGTTTTGATTTGTTGTTTTTTACTTTAGAACTTTAATTACATATTAATTTCATTTCATTTGTAATTTCAGTGATACAAAAAATGTATTGAATCATTATAATCATGTAGAATTTTTATCATTAAAAACATAATTGCTATCTATATGATATTAATGTTTCAACAATAGGTATTTTTTTTATGAGTTTAAAATAAAACAACGAGAAAGTACAAAGAGGGAAGGTACTCATTAGTACTACTTGACTATCATATCATAATACTTAAAATTCAAAAAAAAATATATTACCTTCTAAAGTAAAACGAAAACTTCTTTCTGAAAAAAATTTTAAATTTAAACTATTGTGTAATCTTTCTATTTTATCGTGAATTGGAATAAATATAATGAATATATTGTTCAGATTTTTTGGCATTTAATTCAATACGATTGGTGATAGTTATCGTACTTGTTTAATATGTATACCGTATATAAAGTAATTATAAATTATAATATTATAGTACCTACCTACTATACCTATAGGGTAGTATAGGGGAATTATTGAAACACAATATTTTTACAAACCTTACAATTTCTAATGTAACAACTTATTACATACTATTATAAATTATCATGTATATGTGACGATGAGGCTAAAATATTGTCAAACATAAATATAACAATTGAACGAACCTCACTGATATTGACAGGGCAACATTGGCATAGTTACAATATAGCAATCAAAATGGGTGTACCGAAAAATAATAGTGTCCAAAAATTCGTCCATGTCCCTTGTGTAGCTAATATTCAGACTGGTTAATATAAACCATAAAAGACAAACCTAAGATTGTGCGCATCAGACATTTTTACAGCGGGCTTACAAACGTTTTAGAAATAATTTAGAGACGGTTTTTTAAACAGTTGGAAAACAATTATGTTGTTAAATACTCACAGATACATCGTAACATCACTCATTATTCACCCTAAAAGCACATATTTCATATTGTCCGTCAGTAATTGTATATTGTGTTGTAAAAGTAATAATGTAATGTAAGCATATCATATTTTAGCATTATTCAGTGTATTATTCTTGATTGTTGATCAGTTCGATTCATATTGGCATTCGGCAGTTAACAATATATTCAGCCAGTCGATTTTCAACTTCAGTATCTTGTTCGATTGGAAAGTGAATATCGTTGGTGAGCATTGGGGAAGTCAAAATTAATAAGTCCCAGTAATTTTCAAAAGCGCCAAGAAAAACAAAGAAAAATTAAGGAAAAACGGGAATTTTTACTCAAAATCGATTTTTCACAAAATAGAATTTGGTTTTTGGTGTAACTTTAAAATAAATGACAGTAGATACATGAATTTTTCACTGGTTTTTTATACTAGCATTTCCTATACACGATACAATTTTGAAAATATTTTGACTCTTTTTGAGCTGTTTACATTTTCAGTTTTCAGTTTTTTTTTTCTATAAATATCAATTAAGTTTTATCTGTTGGGCCAAAAAGTGTAAAAATGTAATACAAGGCTCCTGATATATTGTTATAATATCAGTTGAAAAATATTAAAAATATATAGTCACAATTTTTTTTTATAAGCATTTAAAGATCGAATTTTGACAAAATGTATCAAATTTAAAATTGAATAATTATTTGTAGTTAAAAATGTATAAAATGTTCAACTTTTATATTTAAGGATTTAAAATTTAAAACAAGATTCCACGTAAGTAGTTAATTTTGTTACCAAAAAATCTAAAAAATACATAAGCAAAGTTTTTTTCATAGTTATTTTAAGTTCAAATTTGGACGAAATTACATATTAAAAAACCTAGAATAACTATTTTAGTTATTTTGTTGTGGTTGTATATATCATTCGTGGGTACTTGAAACTTTTAAAGTACAACTATTATATATCTATGATAGTATCAGGGTTTGTTGTTGATGTATAACGTGTTATAAGTACCTAATGGATATTGTGATATGATTAATTGGAATTTATTATAGGTCAATTTTTTTTAATACCATAGATAAAAATATATAATAATATTATGTCTAATATATAGACTGACATATCGTCTCTGCTCAGAATCGTTTTTCTTATACAATGATAATATTACATCATTGAATTCAAATGTAATACCATCCATTATACAGTGACCCACTTGTGACCTACTGTACAGCATTTTTTTTTTTTGTTAATGTATAACATAAAATATTATAATATATGATGTACAATGGTAGAGTTGCTCGAAATATTAATATTGTTGTAATAAGTAATATCTTCTAAAACCTGATAATATTTCAATCACGTCACAATATGGTATATTATTGAAGTGCCATAAGTCCCTCGGACCGAATTTGATAATATGTTCGGTGCAGTCTTCACGATAGGTATTATTATTTATAATATTATAAACAGTGTCAGATACAGAGATAAGCGTAAAAAGTAGTCATAGCACTGAAAACAGTGTATGAGATATAATCCACAGGCATTTATTTTAGGGGCGGTTAGCTTCGAAATGTCTATCTTACAATATTATATAAAACTATATAAACAAATATTACAATGTCTCACGCCTGATTTTAAAAGCCAGGGGGGGGGTTGTGGGAAACGCATCTACTTGCCCTTTGCGACCGCCTTCGGAAATTATTCGCGTAGTTGGTATCTCCGATTAATGATAATTACTGTAAACGGTTTGATTGTCAATAGTCGACATCGTGTAGTCGGCGCCATGACTCGTTTGTTATCGGTGACACGGACCGCGAGGCTGTCGAGTGGAGTAATGATACGGTGGAGTGGGCGGAATGCATTCTATTATATTATTATTGTCGACGACACACAATGTACAGTGGTAACCCCGAGGCGCCGACTCAGGTCAGATATTATGGATAAATTAATACTCCCGAATTCAATATATTAATATATGGTCTCCCTACATGGTCCTATATGGTCTCCCTACAACGACGATGACGACAGCAATAGTGATAGTAATAGTAATAATATGATAATTACGAACGCTAACTGTATTGCAATAACGATATACCTTTTACGGAGCAACTATCGTCTGGCGTGGTCGACAGATTAAAATAACATTTTTAGATGATTGACATTTTATTATTTCGATATTATGTTGATTCTATATTACGAAATTCTACTATTCAAATGGTATATGCCCCTCCACTGCCCGTATAAATATATCACCAATGCTCATGAAACTCCTCATGATCCTAATAATAATAATAAAATTATAATAATTGCACGGTGGTGTTAGTGTTCACTAAATAATGCGGTCGACCGGCCCATCGACCGACAGACGCACTGCAGACAGACCATCCCCGTCAGACAAGATAATATATTATGTTATTATTATATGCCCATCCAAACGGCTATATAACATTATAGTCTAATGGTTTTGTGTGATGGGCGGGCATGGGACGCGGAAGTCGGTTTCTGCAAATGTGTAGCTATATATATTATTTAGGATATCGACGTGGCGAGGGTGTGTGCGTGATATTATAAATGTGTATTATATACGGTCGCGAAAGGACAGCGCTCTCTTTATACAGCTAATCTTTCAACACGACTTGAACATATTATATGTGCTAAAGACGGAGTGAGTATATGTGTGTGCGTGGGAGTGAGATTAGGGGTAGATTACTATTAATAATAATGCGCTCGTTTGCATAACATTATTCTATATCTAACCTATACGACGCACCCCATGTTGTGTTGGCAAGAGGGTGGATGCAATGGGGGATGCCATCATAGAGGGACGGATACTATACGTACTATATTAAATGAACGACGACACATGTGTTGTGGGACTTTGTGGTCGTGACATGGATTCGATTCGCTTTGAATGATTTCCTTTTAATAAATTATGACGCTAAATCCACTAACGCGCATATGATGTGCGTGTGGGTGTGTGTGTTGCACTGTCGCCACTCGCCAAAGATGCAGAGAGTGAAACTAATTTCACCCGAAACAGTGACGCTAGATTATGACATAATTACACATTGTGTTACAAGT